TTAACCTCATATACCCTTTGGGAGGTTCAAGGAGATGCAGTTTATACTCATATACTCATCGGAGTGTTCAGAAATATATTCCAAATACAGAGGGAGATGTACGTGTTCAAACACCCAAGGGATTATTGTGTATGCGCAGTGTCTCGGCGTGTCAGAATGAACTGCCGCGGCAGCTTCTACTGTCGCGCTTGAGCACGTAGACATAGACTGTCACGCTCGAGCACGGCAACATAGACTGTCGCGCTCGAGCGCGGCAACATAGACTGTCACGCTCGAGCGCGACAGTGTCGAGTGCCGCGCAGTGCTTCGGCCAGTCAAGTTATAAACTTGATGTTGGGCTTCTTCGGGTCACTTTTCCCCGCTCTTTTGAGTTCGAAACCTCTTCAAACACCCTATAAAAGGATCTTCTGGCTTTTCCCCTCTCCACCTCTTCATATTTGGGTTATTTCTTGCTCGAACAAGATCTAGGGTTTTGAGATCTAGGGTTCTGAGCCTTTTCTTCAATTTCCTCATCTTTTGAGTTCGATTCCTTCTATCCTCTGGTAAAACCGAGCCCATCTCTTGTATTTTATGTTTGCTTTGCTATTTAACTCGAGATCTCGTCTCTAAACCCTAATTTTCTTTGATCCTAGGTTGATTTCACCATGTCGCCAAAGAAAACCCGTGCTTCGAAGGGTAAATCTGCAATCCCTGCATCTGAAGAGACGGAGGCCGCTGCCGCTTCATTTGGAGGTGAGTTTTTAACACTTCCCCCCATCCCTGCATCTGAAGAGACGGAGGCCGCTGCCGCTTCATTTGGAGGTGAGTTTTTAACACTTCCCCCCTTCAAAACTGCTGTTTTTGCATGTATAACCTCGTTTGCCTCCTTTGAGAGGCATTCGGGAAGAGTTGACATCCTCCATCGAGAGGATTGACGCTTTAAAAATATATATCTTGTTCAATCAAGACATATACCACAGTCAAGATGCGAGTTTTTGTCGAAATCGTGTCTTGTCGAAATCAAGGGGCCGTTGTTTAGTTACCGCGGCAGTACGTGCTGCCGCGGCTGAACGCGGCAACATACCCTACCGCGATAACTAACGTCAGTAAATGGTGCCGCGGTCACTTAGAGCGAGGTTCTGTTCTGTTTAGCCTCTTTTACACAACTGTTTTCCAACTTTTCTTTGTAGTCCCCTTTCCCTCTGTGGCCTTCTCTGAGAGAGAAGACCCGGGTCAGAATGGTACTCTTCACGCTTCTTTTAACGGCGACTTTCTGGTTAGAGAGGCTCGCCAATTTAGTGAAGATCGTGATAATAGTGTTCCAGAGTTGGTTCGTGAGGGAGGTTGTCGTACCCTACGCGCTCTGTTGACTGATTCTCCTTTGACTTCAACTCGGGATTCTACCGAACCGTTAAAGAAACTTGATTATTTGTTTGGCGATTCGATAGAAGATCCAGACAATCTCTGCCGTGGCCCTGAAATTTGGTTGAATGAGTATGAAGGTGCTTTTCTATTCCTTCCTCCATTTCCTCGACAGTATTCCCTTCTGCAATTGAGGAATTTGGCTGTTTCGAGAGAAATGACGTGTCATTTGACAGAAGACCACGAGCGCGTTCATTGCGGATACATTAGTAAAGATATTAGTGCTCCTGGTTCCAAAGGTAGGTATAATATTCGTGGTCTTCATCCGGGGCTATTTGGACCAGATGGCGGGCCCCAGAATGAACTGATGATAAGGGCCAACACGGTAAAGAATAAGCTCGCTCGAGTTGGTCGAGAACTTCCCATTCCAAAATTCAGGTGTTATGGATGGGTTCATTCTCTTCCCGACAAATGGTGGGCTAGGATGACCAAGTATGTACTCAATCGTTAGGATCAAGAGTTAAGGAATTTGGGATTATATGCTCCGATCCGAGCCAGCATGCATGGTCTTCCAGTCAGCGTAGATCATTTCCTTGCTTTGTTTGAGTCTTATATTCCGGAGGCCAATACATTTCTTACCAAGTATGGGGAGTTAGGGCTTCCGCTCCACGAAATGATGCATGTATCTGGACTGCCATTGGGGAATACTCCCTATCAAGAATATTTTCCCAACAATCGTCAGCTCATGAAGATGAAGAAGGCTGGCTCTCCTGCTTATGACATACTCTGGGAATTAACTTGTCACTATCAAATAGCGATAGCCAAGATTGAAGTAAAGAGTAAGAAGGCAGCTCGAGTCAGTTTAAAACAGTTCGCTGACTATTTGTTTCAGAATCTCGAGAGCCCGACCGGTGAAGCTGTCTGCGAATCACCGATTCTGACCCCTTCTGACGTTAACAGGCTGATTACGAAAATTAATGCCCAGTCTTATAGAACTGAGTCATCTGAAGGTGGTTTTCTTAAGGGCACTAAATTCAGCACTTTCTTATGGCAAGCCACCAAGAGAATGAAGCCTGCGACTCTTCTTTCTGGTTATCTGGCCATATGGCTAAAGAAATGTGTAGTGCCGCATCAGTCTTCCGAGGCGCTTCCTCTTGAGGTTCTTCTTCCCGCCGTGCAACTAACCGTTGGAGGTAGGTTATCCTTACTCTCCGCTATGATTGCTGACCTCCATAGCGGTTTGCGTAACCTAGCTACCACTTTTACCAAAGCGAACTGCCGTACACATATTTAATGGCGTGACTAGTTCTCCATCGAGCGGATATGATGTCAGCACCTGACGCGTCTGATCCAGACATCCCCTTGTTGCAGCTCTTAGAGGGATGTAAGTGGTTATATCCTTCCCGACCGTGGGCTGACCGGGTGAGGCAATTCAAGAATGCCAAGTGCTGGGAATTTTATAAGTGTTTCCCTCAGTTTTCTGGTGCCTATAATGACACTCTTGTTGACGAGGAGATGCCTGGGGCTGACAGGACCTCTCTCGACATGGGTAGTTTCCACTGGCTCATGAACATTCGCCCAGGCTATAATGTCTTCCGGTCGAAGAACCTTTGCAGGATCGAGCCTTACTTTCCTTGCCGTTTTGCGCGACAATTCGGCTACGATCAACTGTACGTCGGGAACCCCAACAGATGGTTGATAACCTGCGGGAGCCTCATTGATGGAGTACGAGCCTGGTTCTGGAATGTTGCCGGCTGTACCGGAGCTCAGTTTAGTCTGCCTGTCGCTGAGCCTGGCCTTCATTTAACTTTCCTCTACTGTCGGTGGGTTTTAGCCGCCAACACTCCTCTTGCAAAGAAGAAGCTTGCTTTGTTCGAGTCTTATATTCCGGAGACCAATACCTTTCTTACCAAGTATGGGGAATTAGGGCTTCCGCTCCACGAAATGATGAAGGTATCCGGATTGCCATTGGGGAATACTCCTTACCAAGAATATTTTCCTAATAATCGTCAGTTGATGAAAATGAAGAAGGCCTGCTCTCCTGCTTATGACATCCTCTGGGAGTTAACTTGTCATTATCAGATAGCGATAGCCAAGATTGAAGTGAAGAGTAAGAAGGCGGCTCGAGTCAGTTTAAAACAGTTCGCCGACTACCTATTTCAGAACCTTGAGAGCCCGACCGGTGAAGAAGTCTGTGAATCACCGATTCTGACCCCTTCTGACGTCAACCAGCTAATCACGAAGATTAATGCTCAGTCTTACAGAACTGAGTCATCTGAAGGTGGTTTTCTTAAGGGCACCAAGTTCAACACTTTCTTGTGGCAAGCCACAAAGAGAATGAAGCCTGCAACTCTTCTTTCCGGTTATCTGGCCATTTGGCTAAAGAGATGTGTAGTGCCGCATCAGTCTTCTGAGGCGCTTCCTCTTGAAGTTCTCTTTCCCGCCGTGCAACTAGTTGTCAGAGGCAGGTTATCTCTTCTTTCTGCTATGATTGCTGACCTCCATAGCGGTTTGCGTAACCTAGCCAACACCTTTACCAAAGTGGGTGCCGAGCCTTCAACTAAGATTCCTTTGTCGAGCGTCGAATTTCCGTACACCTATTTGATGGCGTGGCTAGTTCTCCATCGATCGGACATGATGTCAGCGCCTGATGCGTCTGATCCAGAAATCCCCTTGCTGCAGCTCTTAGAAGGATGTAAGTGGTTATATCCTTCCCGACCATGGACTGACCGTGTGAGGCAATTCAAGAATGCCAAATGCTGGGAATTCTATAAGTGTTTCCCTCGGTTTTCTGGTGCCTATAATGACACGCTTGTTGACGAGGAAATGCCTGGGGCTAACAGGACCTCTCTCGATACGGGTAGTTTTCATTGGCTCATGAACATTCGCCCAGGCTATAATGTTTTTCGATCGAAGAACATTTGCAGGATTGAGCCTTATTTTCCTTGCCGTTTTGCGCGACAATTCGGCTACGATCAATTGTATATCGGGAATCCCAATAAATGGTTGATAAACTGCGGAGGCCTTATTGATGGGGTACGTGCCTGGTTCTGGAATGTTGCTGGCTGTACCGGAGCTCGATTTAGTTTGCCTGTCGCTGAGCCTGGTCTTTACTTAACCTTCCTCTACTGCCGGTGGATTTTAGCCGCCAATACTCCTCTTGCGAAGAAGAAGCTCCACGAACTGGAATCCGAGGCTGTAGTTCGGAGAATTGTATCAAAAAAAGGAAAGGAGCCCGCTACGTCTTCTCGTAAAGGAAAACAGGTAGCTGATTCCGAAGAGAGCGACGACTTCGAGACATCCAGCGAAGAGGATGAGACCCGAGGCGACGCAGAGGGTGATGTACCTTTGTCTCCCGTGGCTCACAGGACTCGTCGAGCTTCTTCGCCCAAATTACCCGGTGCTCCTTCAAAAGGTATACAAATGAAGGAAAAGAACATTCCCCTGTCGTCCTCCAACAAGATGACCTTGAGATGGCTTTCTCAGGAGGGAGAGGCAGAAGAAGAGGAAGAAGAGGTTGCCCCGCTTATTAACAGGAAAAGATCTCGGCTTACTGCTCCTTCTGAGGTTCAACCTCAGCCGACTCAAGGAACCGAATTACGTACCAAGTTTCGACATGAAAGCTCCGAGGTTCCTCGAGATTCTCGTGCCTCGAAGAGGATTAAAAAGACGGCTCATCGGGAACGCCAACTTTCTCCGTTATTTGAGGAGAAGTTTACTCAGGATCTTCCAGTTGATGAAAGGGGTAAAGTTTCATCTTCATCTCCTTTCTGTTATCTTATTTTTTTTTTGAATAAGGCGTCGCATTTATTCTTTTATCATTGCAGTTGAATCAGAAGAGGAAGGGGAAATCGTGCCCAAGCCTTCTTCTCCGGGTTTAATGGATGTTGATGAATCTAGCTTCACTGAACAAGTGCACAAGGCTATGAACGAGGAACCCCTTCATATGGACATTGTTCCTCCTCCAGCCACCACATCGACCTCGCCAACCGCAGATACAGGTACTGATGTTTTCTCCTTTGGGGGACATTTTCGGAAGATAAGTGAATCAGAACGTGTTCCTCTCCTACTAACTTGTGCGCTTTATCTTCTTTTAGTTAAACTAAAGGAGGTGAGTGCGGGTAGTAGCGCTGCTAATCCCGCAACTATTGTTGAAGGTAATCTCACTTTATTTGTTTTGATTCTTTCATATTTCTTGCATATATGTTGACAGATTTTTCTGCTTAATAGACATCCCTGTCAACGAACCGAAAGACATAGAACTTACCCATGATATGGGTATCGGAGATTTCGATGAGCGAGACTTCGATCTTGACATTTCTGAAGATGTACACCAGGAGATCTCCGATATACTATCGACTCCGGTTCCATCCGCTACTACAGGACCAACTACTCGAGTTGATTCAGCTGAAGCAGATGCATCAAAAGGTATACCCTTTTAGACTCCAGTTTTCAACTGTACTTTCATCTGTTATTGTTCTTGAAGGACTGAAATAAGAATTTTAGACGTAGGACCAACTAACGAAGTTGATGCGTCTACCGTCATCGGTGAATGTGATCAACCTGAAGGTCTGGGTTTCTTACTTCTGGTAAGTCCCCCAGCTGAAGTTGAACCACCAGCCACTGCTCCTTCGACTTCTGCTATTATCGAAGCTGGACCTGTTGTGCCTTCCACTCCGACTCCAGTGGATCATGAAGTAGGAGGTTCGAAGGTTACGGTAGAAGAGCAACCTCCTGCTACTTCAGCTCAACTTGGTACGTCTTATCTAATTGTGCTTCACAGTTAGATTAATACTTGCGGAGTGTTTATTCATTCTTTTCTCATTGACAGAACATGCTCCTCAAGATCTTGGCGACTTAGACCCGAAGTCGTCAAAAATTGTAATTGAACAACAGCTTGATGTAATGAATCCACCGCCCAGCATTACCTCTACACAAACTTCGGATGTCGTGGAGCAGGTCTCAGCCTCGACAAGTCAAGGTAATCACACTTTGAATTTGGGATAATTCTACTCATTACCGTATGCGAACGTGTATATTTTATATCTATTTCTCTTTGCAGATCTTTCTTCATCATTGTCCGATTGCATTCGAGCTTTATTAGCAGATGAAGATCCGGACAAAATTGCCCTTTGCATTGACATTCAAAGCTTCATTCTTTTCTTAAACGCCATGGTTGATCGGATTCTCCTTAAAGGTTCACCATTTGAACTTTTCCAGAAGTCTCTCGATCATCATGTGTCAGGAATTAAAGAACAGGGGTGCGCCGAATTGTCTAACTCTCTTGAAGCTTATTTGGTTGATCTTAAACAACACATCAAGCAGTTGCAGAATTTCCGAGCTAATGGCGCGTCTTCTTACATCACTTCCGAAATGGACCTGAGGCTACAAGCATGGCGTGATTCTCAGAAATCTGTTGAATCCGAACTTCAAATACTGAAGACTCGTATTAATCAACTTCGGGTAAGCGCCTCCAAGAAGACACAAATCAAGGCAGATCTATATCGTAACTTGGAATCGCGTCGGGCAGTGGTAGCCGAATTAGAAAAGAGACTTGCTGAAGCTAGAGAAGCTTGTGAAGTTTTAGAGTCTGATCTGGCGGAAGTAACTCAAGCTGAAGTGAGTACATTACGGCAACTGAATCTTCAAGACAAAATTTTTGCTGACAAGGAACAAGAAGCCGCCAAAATCCGCAGCATCGATGAAAGGAAATTTAAAGCCAATCTGATACCTGAGCTCGAACTGGCTTATGCGACAAGGCTTTCCCAATTAGAAGATGAACTCCGTCATTACAAATTATTGTAATTTTGAAAACATGCATCTTTTCTTTTGTGCTGCTTTGCTTGAACTCTTTTGGTTAATACAATGAACTTTTCTTTTTTTTTTTTGGATTTTATTATGATTACTCATTCTTGTTTAGAATAAATAGTCATAATACTTATAGGATTTTTGGCAAATCCTCAGCCATCAACGGATTTGATATGCCTTTACCGATTACCGTTTGAATCGGGCTAGTATGTGAATTATCTAAGTCCGTTTCACATATAACGTTGCGCTAAAAGAATTAAACTCTTTTAGGCTTTGAACTATCATATTGAATATGTAGGCTACATGTGTTAGATGTAGGCTTATCTCTAATAAGGGATAGGATAACATCCCCCATGTGACATGGATTTTAAAGTGTGAATAGGTTGCGCTTCCTATATAGGACAACGAACCCGAAATCAGAGAGGAAGAATTTTATATTCTATCTCCCGGTCTCTTGTTTGTTGGTAGAGATAAACCCAGAATTGGAGAGGAAGAATTTTATATTCTATCTCCTGGTCTCTTGTTTGTTGGTAGAGATAAACCCAGAATTGGAGAGGAAGAATTTTATATTCTATCTCCTGGTCTCTTGTTTGTTGGTAGAGATAAACCCAGAATTGGAGAGGAAGAATTTTATATTCTATCTCCTGGTCTCTTGTTTGTTGGTAGAGATAAACCCAGAATCGGAGAGGAAGAATTTTATATTCTATCTCCTGGTCTCTTGTTTGTTGGTAGAGATAAACCCAGAATCGGAGAGGAAGAATTTTATATTCTATCTCCTGGAGCAAAAGAAACTCGAAGTGGGATCTTCACTTAGAGAATCTGGATTGACCTGAATAATCCTAACTGTCGTAAGGTTTGATTACTCAATTCGAAAGTGGATCTTTCGTTCGCAAAATGAATCGAAAGGAGATTTTGGTTGTGGTCCTAACTGTAGTAAGGTTTGACCAAGTGGGAGTTTTGAGGATCTCTCGTTCATGGAAGGAATCGAGAGGGGATTTTGGTTTTGGTCTTAACTATTTAAAGGTTTGACCAGGTGAGAAATTGGAATAGGGTACAAATAACAATGAGTTCGTTGATTTGCACGAACTACTCGATGGGAAATTTTGATTTCAAACATTTAACATGAAATAATTTGTCAACTGACACCGACTGACGATGATTGCTCAATCCGACCGGTGGAGGTTTCATAGCGTGAAATTATAAATTATTGAATCTCATCTTCCATGATCACATTACAGGGTTTTGTGAGGAAAGATTAACTTGTCATTAAATCTCATCTCAACAAAAGTAGTAAAAGGTTCCTAATTATTTTCATAACAATTAAGAACGTATCATTCGCATAATCAGTTCTCATTTAAAATAATCAACTGATATCGGGTTATCCTGAAATATCCCATATAGGATTTTCTAGAAACTTCCCGTTTTACGTAAGTTATCCTGAAAGCATTACGGATAATACTTTTTCAGGAACTTTCCATTGATTGGCATCATCAATTTGTTGCCATCCTGAGTAACCAGGCGATAGGCACCGTTCGAGTAGACTGTTTCTACTACAAACGGTCCTTCCCATTTAGGTTCAAATTTGCCTTTCTTCTTAGAAGTGAGAATCATAGGTCTTCGAACAGCGAGAACTAAATCTCCTTCTTTAAAGCTTCGTCGTCGGACTTTTTTATCGAAAGCCCGAGAAATTCTAGCTTGATAAAACTCGATCTGTTGTTGAGCTTCCAAGCGTTTCTCATCTAATATCTCTAATTCCTCGAGACGTTTCTGATGATGTTCTTCCGTCGTCATTCCCGTTACGAGAGCGATACGGAGAGAAGGAATCTGCACTTCCAATGGAAGAACGGCTTCACACCCATACGTTAAAGCATACGGGGTGGCTCCTGTAGGCGTGCGGACGGTCGTACGATAAGCCCAGAGAGCTTCGCCGAGTTTGTCGTCCCAATCTCGTTTATTGGTTTTCACCAATTTCGCCAGAATTTTGATGATAGTCTTGTTAAAAGCTTCGGCCAGTCCGTTAGCTGTAGGATTATAAGCGGTTGACGAAACGTCCTTAATCCCGAATTTACCGCAGAACTTGATGAATGCGTTGCTCACGAACTGAGGACCGTTGTGCTGTAGGATTATAAGCAGTCGACGAAACGTCCTTAATCCCGAACTTACCGCAGAATTTGATAAATGCATTACTCACGAACTGAGGACCGTTGTCGTGCACTATTCGTCTTGGCATACCATACCGATATATGATATGGTGTTTGATAAATTTGATGACATTAGTCGTCTTTACTTCTCTAAGTGGAACTGCTTCTGCCCAGTTCGAGAAATAATCGGTGATTGTCAAAATCAGCTGTCTTTATTTCTCTAAGTGGAACTGCTTCTGCCCATTTCGAGAAATAATCGGTGATTGCCAAAATGAAACGGTCCCCTTTAACCGAAGGTGGAAAAATTGGACCTACTATATCCATTCCCCAAGTTTCGAACGGCCATGATGTCGCCGAAGGATGTAGATATTCAGGGGGTATGTGCATATAATTTGCATGCAATTGACACGCTTCACATTGTCGTGCGTAATCGACTGCGTCTTTCACCATAGTTGGCCAATAATATCCGATTCTCCTAAGTCGGTCGCAGAGTTTAGGACCGGGCTGATGTGCACCGCATATCCCATTATGTGCCTCTTTGAGTGCTTGTTCCGCTTCTTTACTGGATAGACAACGAAGTAAAAGACCATCATAAGCTCGTCGATACAACGTTTGCGATGTGGCATTGTAATAAAATCTCGGCGCTCTTCGCCGAATCGATTCCCTTTCTCTTACATCTTCAGGTAATATACCATGTAAGACGTAGTCGATAATGGGAAATCGCCAATCTCGAACTTCGGGTTCAACTCCAGTGGAGTATACTTCTTTAACGTTCGAATCGTAGATTGGAACGATAAGCTGGTGAGTCCTCACTGTAATCAATTGCTCTGTTTCGGGAGGTTGAGCCAAGGATACTGACAATGCTGCCAATGCGTCTGCGTATGTATTTTGGAGACGCGGAATGTACTCAATGAAAAATTCTTCAAACGAGCTTGCTATCTCAATGGCCACCTGGTGGTATGGAATCAGGTCTCGATTTCTGACTTCATACTCTCCTCGTATTTGATTAACCACCAGTTGAGAATCTCCAAAAGCTTCAAGGTATTCGACCCCCAGCTCTTTGGCGAAATTAAGTCCGATTATTAATGCATTGTATTCAGCCACGTTATTAGAGCATGGTTCAGTCAGTGAATATGCTCTAGGCAAGACGTGCTTTTCCGGGGAAACTAAAACGACCCCCACTCCTGAGGAGATTTTAGAACATCCGGGTGCACTTGCCACGTTGGTTGATCGGGAAGCCCCATCGAAGTACAATTGCCACACTTGTTGATGTGAGGTGGTATTAACTTCGTGAGTTTCATCTGGCAGGTCGTCGTACAATTCGACTACATCCTTCGTAGGGTTTTCTGCCAGAAGGTCGCAAATAGCTCGTCCTTTAACAGATTTCTGCTGTTTGAAGTACAAGTCATATTGCGATAAGAGTAAAGCCCATCTGGCCAAACGCCAATTCATGGAAGCCGGTTGGGTCATGAACACTCGGACGGGATTTATGTTGGAAATGACATAAATCGTCTGTCCGACTAAATAATGTCGCATTTTCTGAATCGCGAATACCAAAGCGAGGCATTCCTTCTCAATCATCGGATAACGAGACTCAGCTCCTACCAATGTACGACTCAGATAATACACAGCTTGCTCGTGACCGTTATCGTCGTCTTGTGCAAGTAAGGCACTTAACGAATGGCTCGTCGCTTTGACATAAATCAAAAACGGCTTGCCCGATTTCGGTGCAACGAGAATAGGTGGATTCGCTAGATATTTCTTGATATCTTCGAATGCCTTCTGACATGCTTCATCCCAAATGAACGACACGCCTTTCTTTGCGAGTTTGGAAAACG